TGACCGAATGACCACATTAATTTGTGACACCTATTTTTTAAGGACTACGTTGACCGATTTTCTACATCAGAAATGATCTTGATCATGTGGGTTAATTTCACCGAGCAATTGTGATAAAAACTCTTACATCTTGTAAGGCTCATTTATATGCCACATCAACATATAACAGAATTTTTTATAGAATTGTGACGGAAGGATCACATTTATTTGTAACATATATTTTCAGGAACCACCTTGATCTATTTTCAAAATCAGAGATATTTTTATTGGTGTAAATCAATTTCAAATATCATTTATGATATAAATCCTATTTTTTATATTGAAATTCAATTTAAAAGTGAAAAATGAACAAATGCATACATGGAAGAAAAACGTGCACGAAAAAATCAAGGCCCAAGCCCAAAGGCCCGTAACAAAACCCATACTCTAACCATCAATACCGTTCATCTAGTGATCACAGCCACGTAACCCGGCCGCGTCGCACACAAAGCATAATCAAAACCGTCCATTACGTACACATGCAACCCCAGCAGAACAACCGAAGGTCCTCGAACCTCAACGGAAATATCACCCACGCCCACGTGTCGCCCTCTCCCCGTACATCCTCGGGTGAGCCTATTACTGTCCCTCACCTACTTGTAAACAGCAGCCTCACATTTTCAACGAAGACATCCAAATACCGAGTCGCCAAAGCTCCAATCTTTCATCGAAATTTCTCGATTTCTCCTCTGAATTGGGTACAAATCTCTCTCTCTCGTTATCTGTTTAAAATATAATTAGGCTAAATTGTTTCAAGTTTCCTTTTTTTTTTTCTTTCCCAATTTCTGTTTCGCATAGATTGACTCTAGGGTTAGGGTTTTTTTCCTTTTTTTTTCCCTTTCCCAATTTCTGTTTCGCATAGATTGACTCTAGGGTTAGGGTTTTTTGTTTTCAATTTATCAAGGATCGGTGTAGATTTCTGAAGATCTAATGGTTAGGTGAGTGGGTCTATTCCTAGAAATGTTAATTTTTTTCGTATATGTTGTTTGATTATGCTTGTATTTCTGATTTGAATTTTTTTGTTTTTTAATAATCTGTTTGTGATTTGATTAGGCTAGCTTTAATTTTTGTTTAATTTTGTTTTAGAAGCTTATAATTTTGTGAGGTTGGTGTTTATATCTTTGAAGAAATTTGTGACTTGAAAGTTTAAACGTTTGGGTAGAAATTTGGGGGTTTTGTTATTAATTAGGTATGGGTAGGATTTTGAGTGTTGGTATTTGTTCGCTGCCCGTTTGGTACTGTACGAAATGGCAGAAAATAGGTAGGAAAGCATGTAAGCTATTTTTATTTTCGTTGTCATACAGATTTTTCCTTGCTTCGTTGTATTTTGGTTCTGTCAGGTGGAATACAGAATTTCAGGTAAGGTTCAGATTAACTGTTTTTTTTTTTTTTTTTAATTTAATTCCTTAAAGAAAAGCATAAGATGAAGAGGATTTGTTTTCTGGTGGTTTGGGATGAAGAGGATTTGTTTTTTGGTGGTTTGGGGGAGGGAGTCATAGCTTATTGTTTCGTATATGCTTAACTTGATTAAATTGATTATGAATGTTGCTTGAAGAGTGATAATAACTCATCACTTGAAATTGTTTGAACTGTTGAAATTGCATGCTATTATAATGGAAAAAATGAATGGGACGTACCAGTGCTTTTCGGTTTATCTGTTTGCGGCTGATTTTGTCAACTCAACTAGGCTTATGTTTTCGGTGATTACTGCTTAGTTGGTTATTTACCTAATTTTGTTATTCTACTGCCTGGAATCATGTGGAAGGTTGCATAATATGTTTGTTAGAATTCATTGTTTCTCCTGCTGTCATCTCCCAGATGACTAGAGAGGCTGATTTACAACCTGATATCTCATCATGTTTATGTCTCCCGGATAAAATGTTTGTTGAATTCACTTTTTCTTCTGCTGTCATCTCTCGGATGACTAGAGAGGCTGATATACAACGTGATATCTCATCATGTTTAAGTCTTCCTCACTTTTGGTTTTGGATGCCTTTTGAGGTTGATTTCCTATACGATATCCGATCACATTTTCTTCTTCTTGCAGTGAATACACAACAATGAGTCGTCCACAAGAACCACACCGACCGTTCTTCCATTTCGGAAATCCCTTTAAGATGATTGCACCAAAGGGTTCCCAGCTGTCTCCAAGGCTTCTTGGACTGTTGAATACTTTCGAGGAAACATTAGCTGGGAGGCTAAGAAAGCTTAACCCAAAAGACAAGGATGATGTCCTCAGCTTGTCATGGTTGAAATTAGCTATGGAGTCTCTCTGTGGAACTCATAATGACATAAAATCCCTCATAGCTGAAATCGATCTCCCTGTGAGTAACTGGGATGAGAAATGGATTGATGTGTACTTGGACATCAGTGTGAAGTTGCTCGATGTGTGCATTGCTTTTAGCTCTGAGATCTCACGTTTAAACCAGGGGCATCTTTATCTTCAATGCGTCTTGCATAATTTGGATTCAACTTCTTCGGACCAATTTATTCGGGCCCGTTCTTCACTTGATGGATGGAGGCATCATATTGGTTCAACAAACCCCAGAGTTGAGAACTGTAGCACCATTTTGGACAAGCTTGTGGAATCCCTTGACCTTCCAAAGGTTAAGAACTCAGCAAAAGGGAAACTTTTGATGCGTGCTATGTATGGAGTTAAGGTGTTGACGGTATCTGTTTGTAGTGTCTTTGCTGCTGCCTTTTCTGGTTCCGCAAAGAAGTTGTTAGAATTGAATGTTGCAGAGACATATTTGTGGGCACAAGCATTTAATGATTTACAGGGTAATGTAAATGGGGAAATTAGAAATGTATTTTCTAGTGGAAGAGTCATGGTACTGAAAGAGCTGGAAGCAGTTGATGATGTTGTTAAGGAACTGTATCCCAAGATTCAAGATGGCGTTGGCCTCACTGAAGGGAACACATTCAAGAATTCTGTTTCAGACTTGGACAGGAAGGCGCAGAAACTTTCTCAAGGGCTAGATCTTCTTACAAACGAAGTGGATGGCTTTTTCCAAATCCTTTTAGCAGGACGCGACACATTGCTTTCCAAACTAAGATCAGGTGGATCAGTCTCAGAACGGATGCTGACGGGAGATGTGGAAGGTCAGCCGGTGAGATGAATGATGATCTTAGCAAGCCAACCTCTCTTGTATATGAAGATGGTTTTAGGTATGGGGTTTTATGTTTTCTTATTTTTGTTAGTGTACGATCGTGTATGGCTTGCAATCAGTATGTTGTGAGTTATAGTAGTTATATTATTATTGTACTGGCGTGTCTAAGTGTAATGATGTACTATGGATTGCTAATGATATATAAAAGGGTTTGGTTTGAAATTGTGGGAGTCTGCTATTTGACTGCCTGAATCATCGTCAATACCTCGGCATAGGTCCGGGGATCGCATCATTCGAGCCTTTTTTTTCATGCTTTTCCCGGTGGTCTTTTAAGTTTGAAGATGCATTTACTTTCTTTTCGCTATAGTTTATTATCAAAATTCTCTCGCTGACAGTTTTTGATGTCTAGGTTCTGCCGTGGATGATTACCAGCGGTAAGTTTCTCACTCGGTGTGACAAACATATATTTGATACATTGAATTTTTGTAGACATGACTTTGGTGTGCATTTTGCAATCAGAAGGTGTTCGTAGAATGTGTCCTTTGTATCTGGTTCTAACCACTTGCCGCTTCATCATCCTCAAACGTTTTCTATGGAAGTTTTCGGTTAATCCCAACTATCATTTAGGACTTTTAGAATGCGTTTGTTGCACCGGACTATCTTGAATTGGACTAGTTTTAGGATTTAGCTGAACTTGCTTAGAACAAATTAAACTGAACTGATTTGGGGAAACGTTTGGTGCATAATTTAGTTAAGAAGCAGGACTCTTATAGTCCTGCTTCTTAATATTTTATTATTAATTTAACCTATATCTATTAACATATGTTGTAAAAATTGTATGGCGTATGCCCACATCCCACATGTATTAGTATACCCACATGCATTTGGAAAAAGGTGAAAAATGATAGTGATATATTTATTGTTATGTAATATTGTCAAAAGTAGTCATCATATCATTTTTGGATGTTCTCATGGGAGTAACTTTATAAATAGAGTGATCTGTGTGCTATCAAAATATATACTACAAAAGAACGAATTAAAGAAATAATATCAGTATATCTCTCTTTCTCTTTATCTGCCATCTTTTGTGTTATAGCTGCTAAAGTTATAGTGTGACATTTTTCATCCGTTTCGCTCATGTCTTTAGCAAAGGTTATTTCTTTAATTTTTGCCTATTTATAACACGTTATTAGTATGATTCTCTAACCATTTGTCATTTCCCTTCACCAAAAGAAAAAGAAAATGTTTCTTCTTAGGATTTTACTATTCTTCCTTTACTTGCTAGAAATACCTTTGTGAAGAACTGTTTGCACCATTCTTGCTTCTCGTTCTCAATTTAATATTTACTTATATGTTTGATTTCTTGTTTGGTGTAGTTCCTAATTACTAACCCATCATTTATATTTAATTTTACTGCAATTTTAGGTGGTGTGGTATAATTGTCGACCTTGCATATTTAAATTTACCTATTATTTAATTTTATTGCAATTTTAGGTGGTGCAGTATAATCGTCCACCCTCCATATTTAAATTTGCCTGGTATTTAATATTACTGTAATTTTAGGTGGTGCAGTATGATCGCACATCCTGCTCTGCATATTTAAATTTTCCTGCAATTTGAGTGGTCCAAAATAATCCACATCCTATGCTTACTTCAATGAGAATGGTGTAGTACAATCGTCATTCTAGTTAATTATGTAAATCTCGAATCTGAAGTTTCAAGTGCTTATCATTTTGGCTTGAAGGTTAAAATAAAAAATTTGTAAGAACCAAAAGTTCTAACACTATGTTCCTCTAGGAATACATATTATTGCAATTTCTTGCACATCTCTATTTTCTTTTAGAAAAGAAAATGACGAAGTTGGCAAATCTTGATTTTGCTGCTTTGGACATTGCTGAGAAAAACTACCTTACCTGGGTGGTGCATATCAAGATCCATCTGAAGACAGGAAATCTTGGAGAAACCATTAGGGATGAAAACAGTGCAACCTCTCAAGATTGGTCGAAAGTCATGATCTTTATTCGTCGCCACATTGACGAAGGATTAAACAGTGAGTACCTAACGGTTGAAAATCCATTAGCTTTCTGGAAGACATTGTACAATCATCCGAAAATGATGATTCTTCCAAGAGTTTATTATGAGTGGACTCATCTAATGATCCAGGATTTTAAGTCAATGATTGAGTACAATTTTGCGATATTTAGAATTAGCTTTCAGATGAAACTCTGTAGGGAAATCATAACTAAAGAAGATATGCTGGAAAAGACTTTCAGCATCTTTCATGTCTCCAACGTACTCTTGCAGCAGCAGTATAGAAAGTAAGGTTTCATTGAATACAACCAGTTGATATCTATGTTCGTAGTAGCTGAACAAAATAATGAGCTCTTGATGAAAAATCATCAGCCTCGACCTATTGGATCGGCACCATTCCTAAAAGTGAATGATACTTCCCTTGTAGGGAATACCACATCCTCTCGTGGCAATAATTACAAACGAGGATATGGCCACAAACGAGATCGATGGAACAGGAAAAGTTAGAACCATGGTATTCAGTTTCACAATCAGATTCTAAGGCATAATTCAGGCCCAAGCTTGAAGAATACAAATCGCCACAAAGGCAAAACTCATATGAACAATGTTCTTAGAAACTCTGAAGGAGTCTGCCATAGGTGTGATGGCAATAGGCAGTGGAGGTGTAACTATCGTATCCTAAAACATTTGGTGGATCTATATCGAAAGGTTAGAACCAGGGTATTCAGTTTCACAATCAGGTTCTAAGGCATAATTCAGGCCCAAGCTTGAAGAATACAAATCGCCACAAAGGCAAAACTCATATGAACAATGTTCCTAGAAACTCTGAAGGAGTCTGCCATAGGTGTGATGGCAATAGATACTGGATGCGTAACTATCGTATCTTAAAACATCTGGTGGATCTATATCAAGTCTTCCTCAAGAAAAAGGGTGTCGATATCGATTTCCTCGATTAGGCTAAACCAATGGATATACCTAATCTAGTGCTCAACTTTTCAGGGCAGTTTAACACAACTTACCTAGATGCTTTAGACTTAATTATGAAAAAAAGGAATGAAGTGTACCTGGCCGATTAAATTATTTATGTTTTATGTATCTTTTATTCTAAACTTGTAGTTTAAACTCGCATTTCATTTCAAAAAAAGCGGCATTTTAATTTTCCTTTTATTATGAATAAGTTGTTTTAACTGTGATCTCTTTTACTCAGAAAGTATGAATAAAAACTGTAGTTATTCTCAAAACATGAGAAACAGATATATTTGTCTTACAAACAGCGCAACTATGTATACCATTCTTTGTGATCGAAAGTATTTCTCAAGCTTAATGCTTACAAAAGTAAATGTAACAATAATATCAGGTTAATCAGATGTAATTGAAGACTCAGGAAAAACTCAAATTATGTTACTAAATGGAACAATATCGTCCATACAAAATGCGTTATATGCTACTTAAGCCTGGTTTGGTACTAAGGTGATTTTGAAAAAAAAAACTGGTATTGAAAAAAGTTGTGAGCTGTTTTTGTGTTTGGTAAACATTCAGCTTCAATTTTTTTTTCACAGTTTTGGATAAAAAAAAGCCAAAAACAAGAAGCTGCAAAACTCAGCTTTGAAAAATCGGTTTTTTTTTTTCACATCTAATTTACATAAAAGTTTACCAAACACTATAATACTGTTTTTTTTTTTTTTAAAAAGCACTTTTACAAAAAAAATTACCAAACACTCTACTACTTTATTTCACAGCTGCTTATTCTCACAACACAGTAGAAACAGCTTTTTTTCAAAGCACAGTAATACCAAACCGATCCTTAATCTACTTAAAATTTGTTGAGTTTCAAAGACATACTTTTAAATGAATACTACATTGAAACAAAAAGGTCATAAAATATGGAGTATTTATGCATTACCTCCAATAATACCAAGGAGCATATGTTGAAGAGGTTGTGTGGTTTGTCGAATGAATTATATTATACATACATAAAGACAGTTGAATCACATACTGTCATGAACTAGAAGTTCCTTAGTTCAAAAGTTTACATTTTTTGACATGACCGTTTGGACCATTTAGGATCCACCATAATGCGTAAGATCATTATCAACTCTAATAGACGTCCATTATTGAGCATACACATTTCTATCTTAAATGAGAATCCTTGCAAAGCTGTTCTTAAGGAAAGTTGATAATTAAAACCATCATAACTAAAGGTTGATGTTGAATCTTCATCATTTTTACTAAGAATTCAAAGGGATATTTGTGGGTCTATTCAACCATTTTGTGGACCATTTTGTATTTTATGTTTTGGTTGATACATTTATCAGATAGTCACATGTTTGTCTCTTGTTTACTTGAAATGTAACTTTTGTGAGACTTCTTGTTCAGATAATTATGTTAAGAGCACAGTTCTCAGATTACCCCATTAAGTCAATTCGACTTGATAACGCTAGTAAATTTACATCTCAAACCTTTGATGATTACTGCATGACATTGGGCATTGATGTTGAATACCCTATTTCTCATGTCTATACTCAAAATAGTTTAGCAAAAGTATTGATTAAGCGGCTTCAAAGTATTGCTAATTAAATGCCAGATGCATTTAATGATACTTCAAAAGTGACAAAGTCACATATTACAGCTACAAATGCACCTTTTAAAATAGATGTTCCTATTGGACAAAATAAAGTAGCAGCGAATGAATTATTTGGTACACACATAAAGCGTGGTAGACCACAAGGTTCAAAAGATTCAGCTTCTCGAAAGAGAAAGACGATGGTACAGATCCAAATGAAATCATTCAAAAAGAGAAAATGAATGATAAATCCCCAATTCATGATTCTAAAAAAGAAAATGTCCTTAATGAGACATATGTCTATGAAGAGACAAAAGTGTATGAAAGTAAAGAAATCTCTATAAATTATGCATGTACTAGTGAATTGTGGAATCGAAATGAAATAATCATCGACAACATGTTCGCATTCTTAGTAGCCAGTAAGATCAGATTAAGTGATGATATTGAACCCTGCTCTGTTGATGAATGTAAACAGAGACAAGATTGACCTAAATGAAAAGATGCAATTTAAGCAGAATTATATTCCTTGAAAATGCGAAATGTTTTTAGACCGTTAATTCAAATCCCATCTGACGTAAATCCCGTGAGTTTCAAATGAGTATTCACAAGAAAGCGCAATGAGAAAAACGAAATTACAAGATATAAAGCACGACTCGTTACACAAGGTTTTTCACAAAGATCTGAAATTGATTATGAGGAGATATACTCTCCTGTAATGGATGCAATTATGTTCCGTTACTTAATAAGTTTAATGGCTTCAGAAAAACTTGATATGTGACTTATGGATGTCATCACAGCGTATATATATGTAGAATTAGATACTGACATATTTATGAAAGTCTCAAAAGAACTTAAGTTGCCTGAAATTATTAACAAACCATGAGATATGCTCTCAATCAAATTAAGACGATCATTATATGGACTGAAATAATCTGGACGAATGTGGTATAATCGTCTTAATGAGTATTTGATCCAAAAATGATAGATCAACAATGTTATTTGTCCTTGTGTGTTCATTAAGAAATCTAATTTTGGATTTACTATAGTGACAGTATATGTCAATGATATGAACCTAGTTGAAACTCTTGAAGAGCTCAATAAAACTTCTGAATATCTGAAAAGTGAATTTGAAATGAAAGACCTTGGGAAAACAAAATATTGTTTTGGCCTACAAATCAAGTATTGTGCTAGTGGAATTTTGGTCCACCAATCAGCTTATATTGAAAAAATCCTGAAACGATTTGGAATAGACAAAGCTTATCCACTTAGCACACCAATGGTCGTTTGTTCTTTGGACATTAAGAAAAATCTATTTTATCCAAAAAGAAGATGAAATGGTCATTGGTCTATAAGTACCATATTTGCGTGCAATAGGTACTTTATTGTATTTATCACAGTGTACTCAACCAGATATAACTTTTTCAGTTAACCTGTTAGTAATGTATAACTCTGCTCCAACAATTCATCATTGGAAATGATTGAAAGATGTTTTGCGATACTTACGTGGGACAAAAGATATGAGTCTCTTCTATACAGAGAAATCCACAAATGACCAAATCTTTGATGGATATGCAGATGCTGGTTTCTTCTTTGATCCGTATAAAGCTCGTTCATAAACTAGATATGTGTTCACTAATATAGATACAACAATCTCATGGCGCTTAACAAAGCAAACACTAGTTGCTACATCTTTCAATCATTCAGAAATACTTGCTTTACATGAAGCAAGTCATGAATGTTCTTGGTTAAGATCAGTGATCCATCATATTCGGAATTCATGTGTCTAACTTCAAAGACAGACTCTCCAACTGTTATCCATGAAGATAATGCACCCTATATTGCCCAAATGAAGAAAGAATTCATCAAGGGTCATAAGACTAAATACATATCTTCAAAGTTTTTCAGTGCACATGAGCTTCAGAAGGCTAAAATTATTGAAGTCAGACAAATTCGTTCCAATGAAAATCTAGCAAACTTGTTCATCAAATCTGCCAAAGTGCACATTTAAGAAGTTAGTGCAGGAAATCAGATTACGTCGGCTTACCAATCAACTAAATTTGAAGAATGCATAATCAGGGGGAGCATCCATGATACATGTATGTTGTACTCTTTTTCCTTCGATTAGGATTTTTCCCACTGAGTTTTTCCTATCAAGGTTTTAACGAGGCAACATAAGCTTACATAACACTATATCAACAATGCAGGTAAGGTTGTACTCTTTTTTCTTCGTTATGGTTTTTTCCAACTGGATTTTTCCAAGTAAAGTTTTAACAAGGCAACTGATGGTGATATGTGGACATCCAAGGGGAGTTTTGTAAAAACTGTATGGTATATGCCTACATCCCGCATACATTAACAAACCCATATGCATTTGGAAAAAGGTGAAATATGATAGTGATATATTTGTTGTTCTGTAATATTGTCAAAAGTAGCCATCATATCATTTTTGGATGTTCTCATAGGAGTAGCTCTATAAATAAAGTGATCTGTGTGTTATCAAAATATACACTGCGAAAAAAAGAATTAAAGAAATAATATTAGTATATCTCCCTCCCTTTCTTTATCTGCCATCTTTTGTGTTATAGCTACTAAAGTTATAGTGTGATATTTTGCACTCGCTTCATTATTGTCTTTAGCAAAGGTTATTTATCTAACTTTTGCCTATTTATTGCAATATTATATTATTACTGTATTTTTCTAGAATCATCTTTTTCCTATTTGTTTCTCTGCTCAGTGTCTTCTTCCCCTCTCCCCTGTTTCCCCCATTTTCGTCGACTGTTCTCTGTACCACTGTGTCCTCCCTTCTCCCTATTTCCTTCGGCTTCACCTCAAATTACTTTGGTCGTCTTCTTTTTCTTCAAAGTTTGAAACTTTGTATTTATTCGTTTCGCCTTAAAGGAAATGACTTGGCGCAGGAGCTGGAGCTCTTGGGTAGCGAAGGAAGCTGAATTGCGGAGATCGTTCTAAAGTCCTAAGTTTTTTGGGTCTGATTCCTGTTCAATCGACGAAAATGAAAACCCATTTCCGCATATCGATAAAGGTGTTCCTTTGTGAAGCAAAAAAGGGAAATCTGGGCTGTGGGTTCTCGGGAAGCAAATAGGGGGTTGGATTCGCTAGATGATGGAGATCGGTGAGAAAGCGTGCTTTTGGTGACTAGGTTCACGGGGCGTAGGTGGTGGAGACGGGATTAGCAATCCCCTAGTTTTCAAGGTCTTGCTGAGAACAGCTAGCGCAGGAATTACGAGTTCGACTTAGTGTTATTAAACGCAGTCCCTTCTCGCACCAAACACGGACTGGTAAGCCAGTACAGTCAAGTGAATCTTAACGAAGCCAAACAAATGTGCCCTTAACAATTTATCAGATCAAATGTTCATCTACAGTTGGCTTGGATGAGATTCCAGAAATTCCAAAAAGCTTTACAAGTTTTGGTTAAGAACATGGGGTTTTAGAAGACAAGTCTTAGGGTGCCTTGCATGAGTATTCAATTTAGAATCAAGATATTTAGTTGCACACTTTTGGGTAGATTCTGGCCATTAATGAATGGCCAGATTAGCCCCTAAATCTCCGCTAGTGCGCGACTGATCTTGACACTACCCATAGTGGAAGCGCAAGTAAAGTAGGATTGGTGGCAAATGGCAACGGTTGGAGTTTGGTAAAGTATTATTGGTTTCATCACTTGACAAAGTTTAGACAATGTGTATGCACACGCATAATCATAACGGTCTTTATGCACATGATATAACTTGATTACTCGATATGACGAGGATTAAAAGAGGGCGACCATTTTCCTTACCAACTAAGCTAACTTACGTCTGCAATCACTTAATGTTTTAATTGAATGAAGACGTAAGGCGACAAGTGCATTAAAATGATTCCTTCAAGAATATCCCACCAGTCATTGAATGTATATATAGTTTGTACGAAGCTTCTAAGGAAAGACATCTTCATATTTTATAAAATCTAAAACGTTTATTTTTTCAAGTTGCATTTCATGGATCATTTTTGCAAAATATTAGTCAAATTAGAAATATTTGAGGCATTTAATTGAGTTTAAAGAAATGAAGGAACACTTGTTCTCTAAAAAACATTGAAATTTCATCGTGATAATTAAATAGGCAATTTGTTTTGGATTGAATTAATTTTTTGCAATGATGATTTTTGAATTGAGACTTACAAAATAGATGGTTTGGATCGTTGAAGTTGAATGTGGAGTGAGTTCCATAACTAATTCTCATTTTTTCTAAAAAAAAATGAAAATCTCTTTCCTTTTAAGGGCCTGATAGTTTGTATATTATAAAAATGTATGATACGACTTCCCCCAACCAAGACGTAAGACTCAAAGGTTTAGGTTGAATCATATGCACCAGGAGGAAGAAAGTGGAATGTGGAATGTAATTTTCCAGTCTGCGTTTCCATTACGCAGAGACTGGTGCTTTGTAATTTCTTTTATTTGTCCAACACAAAAATGTCAGAAATGGCATAAGCGTTACGATTTGACTTGTAAGAGATGATTTGACTTGTGAATGGAAGACTTTGCTTTTGCATAATGTGAACGTATGCATACATAAATTCATACGGTGGTAATTTAATTAGGTCACTTTCAACATTGCATATTTCACCTACCAAACCAATGGATCAAATCCAATCTCTTTAGAAATCATCTACCCTCCACCTATTCAAAGGGCATGAGTGCCCTACTCATCTATTTCAAGAATTCAATTGGTATAATACGACTTAAGAGACATACTAAAACCAAACTTCCTTTGAAGTAAAAGGGTCAAAAGTTCAAGACTTCAACTTTTAGCCTTTCTCAAATTGTTTTTTATAGTCTCAAGGTGAGATAGTTTTGCTCGCAATGAGTTAGTAATAATTTAGTTCAGATTCGTTTTTGGAGAGAATCGAACTTAAAACCTCTTACTTACAAGTGAAGAGGAATATCACTAGACTGTAGTATTAAATGATTATTTCCTTTCATTTTGAAACTGTTAAATGGTATATATACTTGAGTCATCACCATTGAATTACTCATTGCTGAATATACTTGAGTTATCACCATTGAGTATTAAGTATTCCACTCATCGGTAAATATACTTGAGTCATCACCATTGAGTGTTAAATATTCTTGCTCAATGACAATCAACACTATCCAAATGACAATCAATAACATGAGAAGACTTTTGACTTTTCCCTCAACAAAAATTCTTAGCTACTTTGGAGAAACAAGCATTCTTAGTTGTTTTAATGTTAGATTTGATATTTATATTTTTAAACAAAGATCTAAGGACCCAAGGAAGGCCATCCTATCAAAACCCAACACGATTTTAAATTTTAGTTATATTTTCCGCTATTTTTTTTAACAAATGATATCATTTACATTAAGAGGAAGAGATAAGCTTAGCTTCATAATAAGCTAATAATAATGTGGTTCAAATTTCCTTTTCACGAGAATCAAACCTAAAACTTATTACTTATAAGAACAATACTACTAGACTTTAGTATTAAGTGATTATTTTCCGCTAATTTTTAGGGAAAAGTAAATTCAAAGCACATAACATCAAGATGCCACACCAAAACCTCACAAAAAGAAGAGTTAAGAAGTCCATTTCTTTCACGGGTCACCCAAGTTTTTTCCAGTTCAAAAGCCCTCCTTGAAAGCTCTCGCTCTCTCTCTCTCTCTTCCCACCCACCCACCCACTACTCCCCGGATTTCTTTGGAATTTCCCAAAAACCCCCAAAAAGAAAGAAAGAAAGAAATGTGAAAACCTTTTCAAATTACAGCTACCGACACCCCTCCAAAAATTTTGCATTAGCAGCAGCTCGCCTCCTCCATTACCTCTAAAGCTCCTCCGCAGCTCTCTCTCTCTCTCTCTCTCTCTCTCTCTCAGCTTTCTAGATCCGAAATCCTATCTGGGTCTCGAACCGTTTCGGATTCGGACCCCCCCGGGTTGACCATGGAGTCCAGCGCTGCTCCGGCTGGTGACCACAACATCAGAGGGGTGCCGACCCACGGCGGACGCTACGTTCAGTACAATGTGTATGGCAACCTCTTTGAAGTTTCCAGGAAGTATGTCCCGCCCATTAGGCCCGTCGGCAGAGGGGCTTATGGTATCGTCTGGTAAGATTCAATTTTTATTGGGTTTGAGCTTTTCTTGTTATCTTTATTGGGTTTTGAGATTTTAGTTTTAATTTGTTATCTTTGGATTTCCTGTTGATTCTTTGATTGCTGTTGCTTGAAATCTTTGAGAATAGTTTGGTTATACTATTTGAAGTTCCTGCTGTTGATAGAAAGTGGATTTGAGTTAGTTTGGTTCAAGAAGCGGGAAAAGCACTTTCTGATTGTGATCGAACCTTTAGTTAATTTAATCTGAGTATACGTGGATTGTGAATTTTTTGAGATTTTACTCTGGAAATTTATCTGGATTTGTTAGGGATTATTTTTATTTTTGTGGGTTTTGTTTTCTTGTGGAGTTAATGCGATTTTTGGTGTTTTGCGGTAGGGAAGTTTTGTTGGTTGGGGAATTTTGGGTATGTAATCAGGAAATAACTTGAGGTGTATGGAAGGTTAGTTGGTTTCTTTGTTTACAGTAATCCGGTTTTATTCATATTTCCGCGTGGTCTAAATGAGATTTTAAAGCTGTTGATTTGTGTTTTTAAGCTGGGTTTAGTTATGTGCTATGTATCCTTTGGTGGAAGTTGTAGTCCACAAGTGGATTTTAGCTGTCTCAATGAGATTGCGATTCTGTGAAAATATTGAAGTCGAAAAAAACCGTGCGTCATCAATGTGCTTTTGAGTATATCTTGAAGAGATATATGCTCTGCTGAGCTCAGCTAAGCCATTATTCTAGAAAATCAGGATCGAGCACATCAAGTTGTATTCTTTGTTATTTAGAGTCGTCAATGTGAATCTTTTTGCCTATTAGCCTATTCATAGCTCAAATATTTATTCCATCTCTAATTGAAATCCTTCCTTGCAAATTCCACCCATATTAGTTTCCATCTCCCCTTGCCCCTTCTTTCAATTACTGAAATTGACTCTGTCTTCCCTCTTGGTATATCTCTAAGTCTTATATCTCTCTGTATTGGGTCATTGTGACTTAGTGAAGTAGTGTGTCTCAGATGCAGTCTTCATTTTTTTTGGTCGTGTGAATGATATGATATTTAACGTTTATCAATGAGAATTTGTTTTCTATTCATTTGACTTACATCATATGAGTTATAACAAATTTGAAAGTAGATGATTTTTTTGGTTGCATTCAGTGCTGCTGTCAACGCTGAGACTCGTGAGGAGGTTGCCATTAAGAAGATTGGTAATGCATTTGACAACAGAATAGATGCCAAAAGGACTTTACGAGAAATTAAACTTCTTCGGCACATGGATCATGAAAATGTAATTTTTTGTGACCTTCTGTTGTTCATGTTCCTATGAGGATCTCTTATGTCATTTATGTACATCCTATGTAACAGGCTTGCAGATATTTTGTGTTTGGCCCCTTAAAACATTTGGCTTTTCTTGTACATGTGTTTAAAGAATTCCATCTTTTGCAACCTGTGGTAGTAGAAGACTCACTTAAAATGATTATTTTGTGTAGTTCTGTTGATATACAAATATTTTTCAGAGACCTTGAGGGGTCATGTTTTGACTTCTGCTCTACTAGCCGCAATGCGGGTTTCATACAAGGGTTTCTAGAATGGGCAGCGTTTCCGTGCAATAAAACCCTGCCTTAAGCACCTAAATGAGATCTCTCATGAACTCAAGTCTCCCTGTTTGCACATATTTTGATAAAAAAATTTAAGAATCCAGATCATGCTAAATAATTTTTTCCTGTATTTCTGGAGTCAACGGCTTACAAGTTAGTTCTTTCTGCAGGTTATTGCCATCAAAGACATCATACGGCCTCCACAGAAGGAGAACTTCAATGATGTCTACATTGTTTATGAATTAATGGACACTGATCTTCATCAGATTATACGGTCCAACCAACCATTAAATGATGATCATTGTCGGGTTGGCCTTCTTTTCTGAATTTTTGTTGTACTTTTTGTTTTTCGTCAATCTGTTTATGTTATACTTGCTATGCCATTTGATTCTTGAAGCTAGTATTGTTGAGCATCTTATGGAAAGTTTTTCAGCTTTTAAGAATAGTTTCTTGGTTATTATGTTTGTAATGCCATTTGAATATAGTAACTGTACTTTCTTGTAGTTCATATGGATGAGAATCCTCAGGAGGGCAATGAGCCGTTGACATTAATTTCTTTTTCTGTTTGTTCGAACCGAGTGCAATGGCATTCTAGGATTCATACAGCCGACCCCACTTAATGGGAAAAGGCTTTGTTGTTGTTGTTTGTTTAAACAACCAAGATTTCATAGTTATATTCCAGATTTTATTTGTTAGGTTATCGGTGGTGGCAATATATGCTTGTCACTGAAGTAGGTTGAATTAAGCAACTAATGAATATCGTACACACTGATAGCTTTAAATGCAGTCGAATCTTTTCATATATCTTTCCATAGCTTGATAATAAATCGTGAGAAATGATGTTCGTCTCATCTTAAAAACAAGGTTCTGGTCCTTTGCTTTGTTAGCTTGTAGATCAATGAGATGACATGTTTCTTTTATTCTTTAGTTGGAACTTCAACAATGGATTTACATTTCCTAGTTTTCTGAACCTTTCATATTCGGAGTGACTATAGTTTAGAACTTTTACTTGCGATAACTAAGCTAAAATTCTCTGCATTTTAGCCTTGATTATCAACCATTCTCATGACCATGATTTCGGTTATACATGTCTGAGATCTCACTAATTTGTTGTTTAAATTCCACCTTTGCAGTACTTTCTGTACCAGTTGTTACGAGGGCTCAAATATGTACATTCAGCAGGTGTTTTACATCGTGATTTAAAGCCCAGCAATTTGCTCATGAATGCAAATTGTGACCTTAAGATTGGAGATTTTGGTCTCGCAAGGACAACGTCTGAAACTGATTTCATGACTGAGTATGTTGTTACTCGTTGGTACCGTGCACCAGAATTGCTGCTTAATTGTTCGGAGTACACTGCAGCAATCGATATATGGTCTGTAGGTTGCATTCTAGGTGAAATCATGAACAGAAAACCCCTATTCCCTGGCAAAGATTATGTACATCAGCTGAGACTCATAACAGAGGTATGATTTCTAGGTCTTTCTAACTGAATTTAGACTGTTATGCCACTGGTTTCTACATTACAAACATGTCATACTTTTAATGAGAATTCTCCGAAAACCTTTTTTTTTTTTTTTTTTCACTTAACGAGCGGAAGAGGTTCCATCTGCTTTACATTTGGTTATGTTTCTTGTTGCCAAGTGTTAGACAGTGCATAAGCCGTACTGATTCTGTGGAAAGTATTAATAATGAATTTCTAATACGATTAATTTGTATAGTTAAGGGTGTGAAGTAGACAATGAACGCGTCTCATAATAATAATCTTTCAAACGATCTTGGCCAACTGGTGCAATGTTTTCCTTTTGTGTTCAACAGCTCTTAGGCTCACCTGATGACTCCAGCCTTGGATTTTTACGAAGTGATAATGCTCGAAGATATGTTCGACAACTACCTCAGTACCCAAAGCGAAGCTTCTCTCTTGGGTTTCCTGATATGTCTCCTAGCGCTATAGATTTGCTAGAGAAGATGCTTATCTTTGACCCAAACAGGCGTATTACAGGTATACTTAGTTATTGTGTTGCACTTCAACCAGTTTGGTTATGACATAAATGATATTGGGGATCTCAGAATCCTGCAGGATTTTCTATGAACTGGAACTTACTAGTTACAATTCCTGTATCTTCTGGCGGAAAGTTTTGTGATGTTTAGATTTAGAAATGGCAGTGCATGTATTGTCATTCTCAAATACAGAGTTCTGCAGTACTTTAAGAATGCTTGGTAAACAAATTGTGCATATAACTTTTGTGAGAGAGCTTATTAATAGAGCAACTGGAGCCACTTTACTCGCTGATGATTTTCTTCCTTGTTAATTGCATTGACGATTGTTTTTCTCCCCGGTGCTTTGCAGTTGATGAGGCTCTTTGCCACCCATACTTGGCGCCTCTTCATGATATAAACGAGGAGCCTGTCTGCCCAATGCCTTTCAATTTTGATTTTGAGCAACCCTCGTTTACTGAAGAGAATATCAAGGAGCTCATCTGGAGAGAGTCCGTAAGGTTCAATCCAGATCCTATTCAATGAGGGTCATGATATAATCTGTTGTATACTCTTAGAAAGTAATCTCAAAACGGATTACAATCATATTCTACATAGAACCCACTGGATCCTCCAGGAGAATGAAATTATAAAAACTTTGCTGGACCAATCGGGATTTCTTGAGAAATCGCCCTGAAATGTCATTCATTCAACATTAACGTCTTTGGATGTCTGTAACTGTTAAATGTGTGAAAGGGATTCTGAAGGCTGCCTAGCCGGTCTAATCTGTGAGTCTCTAGAGCTCCAATCCCTCGGTGGTGCAGGTTCGTGCTGGTTAGCGGCTTATAATCCGATCATCATCGGCCGGCACCGATGTAAGATCCTTTAGTGTTGCAGTTGTATCTGTTTATATTGGTAGGTCTTAGTGTGAACGGTTGCCTTTTGTCATGAAAACCCTCGACTCTGTATATTATGCGTTTTGCATTCGGGCCTCTTTCCACTGTTGGGACTCCGAGACAAATTGCCGCTTTGTTTCGTTGTGAAAATCTAATAAAATGCCTTGCTTAGAAACTTCTAATAACAGGGGTGTGTCGAAGGAGAAAGAGGGTGTGCAACAATCATTTTCCTTCCGAATTTCATGTACTCGAAATATTGCTGGAGGGAAAAAAAATAGCCAAGGTTTATGGCGGTCTGATAATTTAGCTTTTACTAGAAGACAGTGAAAAACACGAGTAATAGTACATGATTTCAGGATTGTTTACACAGCTCATCCTATACGTACACTGTTTGAGCTCCACCAAGTCAATTGGCAGATCATCTGCAGGAAAATCACAAGCGGTAGCTTTCTCAGCACCCTGATCCGGCAGCAGATCACAAGGGCGAGGCGTCACGCCACTCATAATCCCTTCAACATCAGTGCACGTCCACGGCTGCTGCTTCGCTTTCGCCGCTAGTCCAATTGTCACATTCGAGATGCAAATCCCGGTAAACAGGTGGTCGGCAATGCCTTCCAACCTTGCAGCCATTGTTCCGTTATCTGCCGCCATGTCCTTGTAGTTAATATTATTGATCTCAGGCACTGCATTTTTATCATATTTGCCATCAGCATGTGACCCGTAATTGCCGGTCATCCAAAACGCCCATTTCATTGTGTGCATGGTGAATCTTGACGCGTATATGCCTTTCACGTACCCTCCTTTCCCTACGGCTGTCTTGATCTGAACACCCGATTCACTACGGAAGGCCACGATGTCTTCGGCTCGGACATCTTGGATCCCGCCGGACATTTCGCTGCCTAATGCGATGGTGGCGCTGTAGGGAGAAATGCATGTGAGTCGCCGGATTACTAGTTGTATTGTAGGCATTCCGAATGTTATGCCATACTCATCCCATCCGCTCTTAACAGCCACACAGTCATCTCCTGAGACTATGTAGCAGTCTTCTATTCTCGTATTGGTGCAAAAATCTGCAATAAAATACCAAAAGTTCGAGATATGAATTAGGTCGGTTAGCGTAATTGACCACTTGTATCTAAGTTCAGACCTACTTTCATGCAACTTAGAGTAAATTAGAACATCGATTTTGTAAAAAGAAATACACAAATTAAAGGTCAATTAATGAGGTCTGAAATGATATTTCAATTGACTATAACCTGGGTTGATGCCATCTGTTGGAGATGAAATTGGAGCTATGATTGTAATCCCTTTCACAAGAATATTACTGCAACAACATAATTTCATAATCTTAATCATCTAATAATCTTGAAAGTGGGGAAAAAAAATAAAAACACCATTGATTGAGTGCCACGTGGTTGAACTCATAATGAATACATGGTGATGTAGTACAAATAAGCTCGATTGAAGTGGCTAAAATTACGATGCAAAAAAGAAAAAAAAAAAATTACGTTGAACGATAAAGTATTTTGTGAAAAAAAAAATATATATTGAAAGTGTTGTAAACTTTCTAGTTTAAGTGTGATTGTGTAAATTTTATATTAGATTTGATTTTAGTTATTATTTCCTATATGGACTTGTATTCCTTGGGGATGAAGGATTTCTTCTCCCTCTTATTACTATAAATAAATGCAATGTGCACACATTCTTTTACACAATTCTACAAACACATATCTCTATATTTTCTCTACCTGTGCCACCAACCCCCTTCCCCTGTCAGATAAAATAGGCTACAACAAGTTATCAGCACGTTCCTACTGCTGCGCTTAAGAATTTGACGTGGAAGCTTTCTACATCAAACCAGTTCATCCATATCATCATGCAATTAGGTTCTTCTAGAACAACGATTTTTATCTCGATATTTTTGCAGCCTTGATAGTATGAATATTCACCATAATGCACGACCCAACTTTACGTTTTTCGAATTTTAGATTCTACATAAATTGTATATGCATTATATCCATATTGTTGAATTATGTGAACTTGATATTTGCCATGAATTGCATCAAATATATATCCATGCATTAAATTATTGAATTGAATATGCATGCAATTGAATTTTATAATAATAAAAAAAGTCGCAAACTGCTAGGGTTTTTCGAACCCACGATTTGAGTTGCAAACCCGAGCTGCTAGCCCAGGCCTGCAGCCTGTATGGCTCAGTCGCGCCAAGCCACGAGACCACAAGCTGGAGCCAAGGGCTCTAGGTTTGAAACAAAAACCCTGACGACTTCCATGGCGTCTTCACCATCACAGGTGGGCTTGCAACCTAACCTTGACCTTGGGTTACCATCCCAACGCCCTGAAGCTCGTCCACTGACGTAGATTGACCGAAATTCCTTTGAATCTCGTCAGATTTTCTTTGAAATTCCGATTTGAATTTCTTGGATTTTGGTTGAAACGTTGGGATCCCTCTATCTCCGTTTGTATTCTTAGGTATGACTAGTGGGGAAGTTAGTTGTCTAGCAGATAATGCAACCACACACACCGTTTTGTGTGAACGCATTTATTTCACTAACTTCATACCTAAGAATGCATGTCTGACAACCCTCTCATGCCCATCTAACCTGATTGCATAATACAGTAAAGCACGTATAATGTTGTCCAATGGTACAATTCTGACCATTGATGAGACACTTTATTCTCCACGTTTTGAAATAACGTTGTTAAGTTTTAAGGACATTAGAGATGATAATTACCACACTGAAACCTATGTAAAAGACGAAGTTGGCTTTTTGTGCATAACTTCCTACGAATATGGCCAGAAGCGCATTCTAGAGAAGATGAAGCGTATCCCAAGTGATCTATATACTATGACCATACGCCCTATAGAAAGCCACTATGTGGCTAGCCCTACCTCTGGGACCACGAAATTACATTTTGGCATGATCGTTCGGGACACCCTAGATGAGTAGCAATGCGTCGTATCCTCAAATCACCACACGGGCATCCACTAACCTGAAGTTTAGATTCGACTCAAGGAATCGCATATCAAACATGTTCCATTGGAAAACTTATTATTAAGCCTTCTTATGACAAGATTCGTTTGAATCCTCCTATTTTTCTACTAAGGATTCAAGGGGATATTTATGGACCAATTCACCCTTTATGTGGACCATTTAGATATTTTATGGTTTTGGTTGACGCCTCCACATGTTGGTCACACGTGTGCTTGTTGTCCACAAGGAATGCTGCATTCTCCAAACTGTTGGCTTATGTTATCAAGCTTAGGGCTCACCACCCTGATTATTTGATCAAATCTATTCGATTGGATAATGCTGGAGAATTCACATCTAAAACTTTTGATGACTATTGCATGTCGGTTAGGTTTGAAATTGAACATTTTGTACCTCATGTTCACACCCAAACCGGCCTGGTAGTGGCATTCATTAAATGTTTACAAATGATTGCTCGATTGTTGGTTATACGTACTAAGCTCCCGATCGCTGCTTAGGGCCATGCAATATTGCACGCAACCATGTTGATCCGCCTGAGGCCTATTGTGACCCAACCATATAACACCCTTAAGTTGGTTACCGGATACGAACTTGACATATCGCATCTGCGCGTTTTTGGTTGTGTAGTCTATATGCCGATTTTGTCGCTTTTACGTACAAAAATAAGGTCTCAGCAAAGGATGGGAATCCATGTCGAATATCATTCTCATTTGATTGTTCGTTACTTAGAACCTTTGATAAGTGATCTGTTTACTGCTCGTTTCATGGATTGTTACTTTTATGAGACAGTCTTCCCGTCGTTAGGGGGAGATAAGAACGTCAACATTCCTGAAGAACAACGCGAATTATCGTGGACGACTCCCACTTTGTCTCATTTAGATCGCTACACCGCTCAATCTGAAATTGAAGTGCAGCGCATATTAGATCTTTAGAGTATAGCTCAGAGCATGCCAGATGCTTTCACCGATCTAACGTGAATGACAGGATCACATATTCTAGCTGCGAATGTGCCTGCAAAGATGGATGTACAAAATATACGACGGACTTCTCTCCTGGAAGCCTGGGACACCAACTCTGGTGATCCACGTACATTAGCGACTAGCCAATCATCTACCCCTACACAAAAATGTGGCAGACCTCTTGGTTAAAAGGATTCACACATCTGGAAGAAGAAACCCACAACACAGGCACTGATCCTACTGTGAATCTGATTATCGCTTATTCATTCTATCCAACTCATGAGAAAATTCTAGATTACGGAAGCGTCCTTGAATAGACAAATCCACCTTCCAAGAATTGTGAGATTTCGGTCTATTATGCTAGCTTAGATGACGTTTGGTGTAGAAATGAGATGATTGTCGATGATGCATTAGCATATGTAGTAGCTACTGAGATCATGTTGAGCGATGACATTGAACCCCGTTCCGTTGATGACTGTCGACGTAGAACCAATTGGTCAAACTAGAAACAAGCAATCCAAGTCGAACTTGATTTGCTTGCGAAACATAAGGTGTTTAGGCTTGTAGCTCCTACTTCTCCACATGTGAAGCCTGTTGGCTACAAGTGGGTTTTCATTCAGAAGCGTAATGAGAAGAACGAAATTGTACGTTATAAAACTTGTCTTGTTGCGCAAGGCTTTTCACAACGCCCTGAGATTGGCTATAATGAAACTTATTCACCCATTATGGATGTGATTACTTTTCACTAGCTTATCAGTTTGGCAGTTTCTGAAAAACTGAGTATGCAGCTGATGGATGTAGTAACAGCGTATCTCTATGGGGATCTTGATACGAAAATTTATATGAAAGTTTCCAAAGTACTTACTTTGACTGGATCAGATATTTCTAAACCCCGGGACCCGCTCTCAATTCGGCTGAGGCATTCACTCTGCGATTTGAAGCAATCCGGAATAATGTGGTATAACCGTTTGAGTGAGTATTTGACTAGTCAGGGATATGTGAACAATGCACTATACCCTTGTGTGTTCATTAAGAAGTCACATTCTGGTTTTGTGATAGTTGTAGTATATGTCGATGACATGAACTTCATTGGAACTTCTGAAGAGCTCTCAAGAACTGCTACACACCTGAAGTCAGAATTTAAGATGAAAGATCTAGGAAAGACTTGATACTGTCTCGGTCTCGAGATAGAGCACTGTTTGAATGAAATCTTAGTACATCAAACGAACTACATCCAGAAAGTGTTGTACAGCTTTAACGAGGATAAAGCGAAGCCTTCGAGTACTCTTATGGTTGTTCAATTGCTAAATGCTAAATGAGATCCATTCCATCTGAAAGAGGATGCTGAAGAGATATTGGAGCTTGAAGTTCCTTATCTAAGTGTAATAGGCACTTTATTGTATATAGCTCAATGCCCTAGACCCGATATCTCCTTCGCTATTAATCTTTAGCAAGATACAGTAATGCACCAACATGTAGACACTGGACTGGTGTTAAAGACATTTTCCGTTACCTTAAGGGTACTACAGATTTGGGCATGTTTTATCACTATGGATCCTTGAGTGATACCGCACCCCCTTATCTCTAGTCGATTCTCGCCTTATTGGTTATGCCAACGCATGATACTTATTTGATCTGCACAAGGTGCACTTTTAAACGGGTTATGTCTTTACCATTGGAGGCATCTTAATCTCTTGGAGGTCAACTAAACAGACCTTAGTTGCCACTTTGTCTAACCATGTTGAAATTCTTGCCTTACATGAAGCAACTTGGGAATGCTTTTGGTTGAGAGCAGTTATGGACCATATTCGAAGCTCTTGCAATCTTTACCCCGTTGTTGATGTCCCAATGACGATCTATGAAGACAACACAACATGCATCGAACAGCTCAAGAAGGGTTACATCAAAGAAGACAACA